ATAATTGCTTACAGTACTTTCCGTCTAGTATTCTATGCAATGATGAAACCTCCGTCGAATGTTCTTGCAACGGTTTGCTAAATTTATGGAGTAGCGGAGAACATTGTTACTCTGTTCTACGCATGTGACTTAACCTAGAGTATGTTATTCTGATAGGCGTGCTAAAATGTCCAGTGTACCAGCACCAGTTTTTACGGCAGTGGAAAACCAACACCATTTTGGATACCAAAAGTACAGTACATAGTACAGTAGAAAAAGGTCAATGAGGTCAACAGCCATTAACAAAGCTTCGCCCCCCATGATGACACAATTGGAAATGTAGCAACCAAGCATGTTTGGTTCCTGCATGTTCTCTGATGTGTATAGGTGACTTGTTAGTCTAGCTGTGATTGTTGTAGGTGTTTTGCTTGAGTTCCCTGGTCCTGTCCCTTGTGGTATTCCCCATTTTGTTGACCCTGACCCAGCTCCTACTGTTCCACCTGTCTGTTTTGGTTCCCTTCATGTGACCCACATTTGCCTCTTTTTGGCCCTAGTCTTTAATGTTTGGTTGAATGGCTCACACCTGTTCTTTGTTCAGCTCTTGTTACCTTTGTGTGTATATTTGTGCCTGCTCTAGCTTTGTACTCTGCTTTGTCATTATGTTTGGTCCCTGCATGTTCTCCGATGTGTGTGGGTTACTTGCTGATCTTGCTGTGATTGTTGTAGGTGTATCTCCTCGTGCAGCCAACTTGCCCTTTTTTTTTTACTCTTCACAGCCCCTTTTGTTTCGTGTTTTTGTGTTTGAGTTCTGTTTTATTAAATTTCATATTTGTCAGTGGATCGTCCCTGCGTCATGCCCCACCATGACAGGAAAGTACAATATACACAAGGAATTTGAAATGTAAGAAGAAAAGTGAGTTTTTGATGTACTTCCTCCAACAGTTCAGTTTACACTTCAGCGTTAACAGCACATAAACTCTACGGGAAGTTTCAACAAAAAGAAGCTCTTTAGATTACTTCTTGTTATATCAGGTTCAGATTAAATGCTTCCATGGCACAAAGGGTCTTATGTCAATTATGATTAGTGATATTATGGGCAAACTTGGTATACTGCAGTCAAACTGTCTAAGCTATCATGAATCTTCAGATGAATTAGGCATTGTCATGCCCCGCTCGTCCAATCGTCCTGTGTGCCACGCCCCCTCATTACCTCGTGTGGAATCCCCATGTGATCAGCTGTTTCAAGTTGCTGTCATTAGTCCTATGTATTTAAGTCTGTGTTTAAGTATGTATCCCCAATCTGGTCATTAACGTTTTGTGGTAGTTCTATGTTCCTGAGTGTTTTACCCTTCAATAAATTCCTCATTCTCTGAGTCTCCCTGCTCCTGCTTCTTCAGTCTATGCCAGGACAGAATGACCGGACTCCCAAAAAAGACGCCTTGTCGAGTATCTCGATCTGGTAGCTGAGGTATTATACTGGCTCAACCAGCCAGAAATACAGGAGTACCCCGCTGCCCGAGCTCTTGCCTAAAGGACCTCCTGGAGTCGATGTCCCCGTCGACCGACCCAAACCTCACAGAGGAAGTAAGGCAAAAATCTGCTGCAGCTGCAGAGTGGGGTGGCTGAGGCTATACTCAGGCAGGTGCCTGAGTATAGCCTCAGCCTGCCTCTCCGGTAGAGCCGCCTGAGCCAGCCCCAAGTCGCCAGCCCCACCCCCGTGAAGCCGGCTCCTCAGAGGAAACACTGAGGAAGCTTCAGGAAGAAGGAACAAGCTTCCTCAGCAGGAGATGCCGCTGTACCTAAAGTCCCTGCTGCCCCTTCCGTATGCGACGCCCACACCCAAGCTCGTGGTTTCTGTCCCGGAGGTTCCTGCGCCAGTCCCCGAGGTTCCTGCCCCAGTCCACGTGGTTTCTGTCCCTGAGGTTCCAGTCCTCGTGGTTCCTGCTCCGCCCCCTGTGGTTCCTGTGCTGGCAGTTCCTGCTCCGCCCCCCGTGGTTCCTGCTCCAGAGGTTCCTGCACCTCTGGCTCCAGTCCCCTCGGTTCCTGACCCTCTGGCTCTAGTTCCCCCAGACCCTGCTCCTGTGCCCCCGGCTCCCATGACCCCAGTCCCTGTCCCCTAGGGGCTCCCGGAATATCAGACCACCGCTCCTCCGTCCTTAGTGGAGTTGGAGGAGGAGCTTGAGTGGGATCCCTTGGAGATTTCCCTGATTGCCCCATTGCACCCCTCCATTGGGTCGCCCCAGCCATCACCCCAGCGTGGCAGATCCACGCCAGGTCCTCGGCTCTTGGTGTCCCGAGGAGGGAGAGGAGACCTGTGCAGGGGTCAGGTCCCACCCGACCAGCCCCCTGGCTTGCTCTCGGTCCCCTTGACTCTGGCTCGGCGGTCGCCTGCGGTTCCTCCAGCTTAGTGGTGGCCTGCAGTCCCCCTGGCTCTGGGTGAGCGGTCACCTGCGGGTGTCCCGTCGGAGAAGGGTCCCTGCTGTCCCTTCTCTGATGCCTCGTCGGTCGCCTGCAATTCCCCCGGCTCTGACTCATCGGTCACCTGTGCCTTCACCGGCTGTGGCTGCACCTTCGGCTGTGGCTGCACCTTCGCCTGTGACGGCTTCTCCTCACTCCTCGCCTCCTCCGTTGTCCCCTTCACCTCCCTTTTCGCCTCCTCCATCAGCTCCTCCACCTTCCTCCTCGCCCCCTTCAGTATCCCCTCCAGCTCCCACCTTGCGGTCACCGAGGGTCCCTTTGGCTCCGGCTTTGCGGTCGCCTGCTGCCCCTGCGGTTCCACCTTTCGCCCGCCGAGGTTCCTTTCAGCTCCTGGTATCTCCCTGCCCTTTGCCCCCTGTGTTCCCTCCTCATCTGTTTGCTCCGCCTGTGTTCCCTCCTGGTCCATGTCCTCCCTTCGTTGGTTTGTCCCCTGGTGTTGTTCCTCCGTTGTCTCGTTCCTTAGTGTTCAGTTCTCTTTTCCAATCCTTGGTGCCCCTGTGTCTGTCTGCATTGTCTGTCATGTGTCGTTTGTTTTCTGAGTTGGTCTCCTTGTGTCTGCTCTGCAGGTCTGTACTGTTCCCTTTGATCCGCTTGGTGCTTTTGTTTCCCCAGGTTTCGTCGTGTCCCCGGTCTTATCCTTCGCGGGGGGGGTGGGGGCCTGTCATGCCCCGCTCGTCCGATCCTCCCGCGTGCCACGCCCCCTTGTTACCTTGTGTGGAATCCCCGTGTGATCAGCTGTTTTGAATTGCTGTTATTAGTCCTATATATTGAAGTCTGCGTTTAAGTATGTATCCCCAGTCTGGTCATTAACATTTTGTGGTAGTTCTATGTTCCTGAGTGTTTTACCCTTCAATAAATCCCTCGTTCTCCAAATTCTCCATCGCCCTGCTCCTGCTTCCCCGGTCTATGCCAGGACAGGTATCATTAAAGTGAACATGAAATACTGGTTTAGATGTCACAATGCTCATATGTTATGTGTTGCAGGTACATTTCTACTAATGAAAACATAGTACATGTTTCCTTACTCTGAAGTTCATTAGCTATATTTCTGAGGGAAAAAATACAAGTATGTATTCAGTTCAGCTTGTGTGAAGCAGTTATGAAATCTCATATTTGTCGAAGCTAAAAGACATATAAAATAGGAAGCCAACAAAAATGTATAAACAGCCTTTACTGTGGACGCATCAGAAAAATTCAGGAAAATCATTCCGATACATCAACAAACATGAAGCATTCATCCACTGGGCATAATTAATCAATAGCCCATCTCGTTAAAATAAAAGACCGGTCTAAGTTGGTCACCGTGAGCAGGATAGATGTGCGTAGCCTGACCGACCGCAGCTGCGTGTTTAAATGCACAAATAAAGTATGCGTTGTTATTTGTCATTGCCAACGCCGATGACGACTTCGTGTTTTGGCACCGAGTGAGGCACAGAGCCCGTCTGCGTGCTGGCGACGCTCATGTGTCCCCGATTGCAGGTTCAGTTCTGAAACAACGGAAGCACAAACGTTATAATTAACGCCGTGATTACCGATAATTGCACTGGAGAGCGATGTCGCACGGTTAAATTCAGAGGGTACATATGACCTGTTATGCATACGTAAACTTTGCACCTCCAGAAGCGTAATATGATGAATCGGAGGCTCTCTATTTAGGCGGGAGCACACAGGACCCCCGCATGTCCTGATGTCTAGTGCTGTTTATTTCTGGCTTCTTGGGCCATTTCTATTATTATTCCATGCTCTTTCTGAGCATCTCTTTCACTGTCTGCTAACCTTTTCGAAACACCATTAAATCAAATTATTGGCGTTCCCTTGGAATGCCTTACAGCAGTTTGCAGTGGCCAACTGGAAATGTAAAAAAGTATTCCCTTAGAATTTTTTTATAGCAAATAGGTGAGAAAAGCCTTACTGTTTTCCTTTTTCACAATGACAGAGAACGGTGGACTACATAATATACATTAATAATCCCAATTCATCTCCTTGAGCCAATTCAAAGCATTTGCAGATCACTAATGTGTTCTAATTTCAAGGGCATCAGAGGTTTACGGTCATGTTGTGATGCTGGGTTTAACAACTTGAAAATGACATGATTTCCTTCCAGTGCATGTTCCAGAATGGCACATGTTTTGGGGACTCCTACTATTCAGACTGGAATACAATGGTAACCAAGGCTGGCCCCAAGACCAAAAGGCTGTGAAACGCTCGCAGGACTTTGCCAAGTCAGAGTTGAGTGTTTAGTAGTGAATGTGCATCTCTAGATTACTGCAAAATGACATGTAGAGAGACCTTTGCTGAATTTTCACATACATATTAAAAAGGCATGGGTTGTTTGGTATTTGGACTTTGCAAATGTGCCTCTAGATGCTTAACTTAAAAAAAGAAAATTTGCAGTATGATCTTATCAGCATTTTCTTATAATCATTACCCTAACAATGTGCAATCCTTGGTCTTTCATGTCCCCAAACTGTGATTGCAACCGAAGTTTTATTAATATCTTTAATTATAGTGATGTAAAGACCGAGGAACATTGAGAACTGAAATCAGACTACATCTGTCTTTTATTTTTTTAAACAAAAGTTATCACAGTTAATGTGTCCCAAGCTCCAAATCATAATTTAAAGCAGACAGCACACAAAATTTAAAATATAAAAACAAAGAAATCATATAGTTAATCCTCTTGGAAACGAGTTCTGATTGCATGTGTTTAACAAACCCGGGCCCCCAGAACCACTCATCAGATTGTCATTGGAAGTCTAGGCTCTTATGAATAAACCTTGACACACTTTCATTCTGGTGAAGTTTGTTCAAGACAGAGGAAGATATAATGAATTTTATTACAGTACATATCATTTATTGCAGTGCTCCAGTTAATCTGAACACCTTCTCACAGTGGTAGTCACATACTGTAGACTAAAAATAAACTTTTAACCAAATAAATGAATGTTTCCAGTTCTCCAGCTTGTAATTAACATTTGATCAATAAAAAATGTGCATGCTCCCTTCAGATTGGACTGAATTACTAAATGTGATTGATCATAACACATTCGAGTACAACAGAGATCTGTAATCTGAAATTCACGTAGGGCAATTTTACATGTACCACTTGTTTTGACAACAGGTAATGGTCTTATAAATCTGGTGGTTGTGCAGAAGCATCCGTTACAGAAAGTTATGTTGATTAATCACGGGGTGGGGGGCTAGCGATTACTGAGCACCTGACACTTTCATCCTGAATTTACCAAGGTTCACCCATGTGGCACCTACAAAATATCTGTGCATGTGACTGGTATGGACCAATCACCCTCAAACCCCCCTACATGTGACTGGTATGGGCCAACCACCCTCAAACCCCCTGTGCATGTGACTGGTATGGACCAATCACCCTCAAACCCCCTGTGCATGTGACTGGTATGGGCCAATCACCCTCAAACCCCCTGCTTCCCCACAAACACACAACACTACCACAATATTGGTAGGAACATGTCGCTACCATCCCAGGGCCGCCCACCCTATATGCGACATAGGGCGCCATTTGATTAGAGGGTGCAAAAGAGCGAGTGAAAAAAACTGGGAGAAATACCTGTGGCTGCATTCTGTGATATTATGGCTATTTACACTAAGTTATAATATTTCACTACTTGTAAATCAGATGCTAGCTAGCTAGTTAGCTGTCAGACACCCTTGTTACTGAAATGTTATTAGAATAAATTAATTGACAAAATCTGTCTTCTGTTGCTCTACAGGGTAGGTTGGGGGTGTTGCCTATGACACCTAAACACCCAGAGCCGACCCCTGTACTGTCCATACCCAAATTTACACCCTTGCTCAATGGGGTTTGTACAGTAATGTTTTAAAAGTATATTTAAAATCCCTTTAACTTTCTGGGGGGACAAAAACATTTTCTCTAGGGCATTCCAGAGCAGTGGAACATATATGGGAATATATTGTATACATGTAAAATGAGGTATGAGAAATGACCAAAGCAGGACTCCTGGTGATCACTCAATGCACTGCAAAGAATGCTGCAAGTCTTGCATGCAACGCCCTGACTGAGTGCTGCGATTCTGAGCACCAGTGTTACCTGTGTGGGTGTCCAAAGTTTAATTCCCGTTGCAGAACACCCAGTGTAACTGTGCCCTTGCAAATTGTGTTGTGGCACTTCCCATGTGGCACATGAGCAAGTTGCCATGCTTAACAGGACACACCGTGCATGCTGTTTATTTCAGTGCCGGATGCAAAGTACTTTATCTGCGACACTAACAAGTTACCAGTGGTCCAGTATGGAGGCATGTGACTCTCTAGGAACAAAAAGGAACTGAAATGCCTTCATTTCCCACATTGAAAGTGCTATTCCTGTGATTGCAGCCCCTGAATTAGTGTCGGCCTGCTGCACATACCCTGTTTGTGCCACCTGGGTTGTTTGCCTCTGTTTGCTTTTGCAGGAGCAATTAAGAGGCAACTTCTGTTTCACATCTCCCCTAGATTATATCAGCAGTACAGCTGAAAAAAAATGCTTTACAGGGGCTTTATTTGAATTTCTGGTTACATCAAAGGACAAACAAAGTGACTTAATATCCGTAGCACAGATGGTGAAGGCAGACTGTATTCCGAGAAAATGACTATAATACACATATTAGTCAGTATGTAATATGTGTCACGGTGTGCAAGACGAAGGACTCGAAGCCCGACGTTTGGGGAACAAAAGGGGTTTATTGAACTGAATGGAAGCAGGGAAACAAACAAGACCACGAGGAGTCAGAACGAGAAGGCTAGTAAGGGGAAGGACATGGGTAGACTGGAGGAGCAACATCAATGACCAGCCTGGGGCTGATGAGACAAATAGGTACTTAAATACAAAGACTAATGAGGGGTAACAAGCACCAGGCATGGCCACGTTAGAGAGGAAACAGGAGGATAGGACATAACATTACCCCACCCCGAAGTGTGTCCTCCAGGTGTGGAGGATCAACAGGGAAGGGGACTAATGGGACCAAATGCAAGGGCAGACACACAGGGCTAGGGACAGATGGTACAGGGCACAGCAGGACTGACAGGGTACACGGGACAGAAACCTCACAATACCAGAGGGGCCGAGCCACTGGACAGGACAGGACACATGTCGAAACAGACCAAACATGAGACAGAACAAGGCACCAGGGACAATGGCCCAGGACAGACAGAGACTGAAACAAACTGAATACACCCCATCTGGGAACACCTGACAGAAAAAACCCCAGACATGGGACAAAACACATGACATGACTAGGGGCATGGGACTGACCAAGGCAAAACAGCAGAGAGGACACCCAACAAGACACACACCAGGACAGGGCGGATACTTAGAGGAACCACAGTAACAGGGATAGAAACACAGGAGAGAACCACAGGGGACAAAGGCCAGGACAAAACCAAGGCAGGAAAGGGAACCAGGACAGGGACCAAGGTGTGACCAGAGGGAACAGGAAATTTCCAGGAAGTCTCCAGGAAGCTGGGTGGCGACCTTGGGACACGGACCCTCCTGGGCCTAATCACTGGCAAGGCAGGGTCCATCTGGACCGCAGGGCCTAAGGGCCTTAGAGGGCCAGCGGGCCCAGAGGGCACCAAGGGGTCAGCATGGCCGGAGCAGGAGGGAGCCAAGGGAACTGCAGAGAAGGGGCAGGAGGTCGCTGAGAGACATCTCCTCTCAGCCGCAGCAGGAGAGTCGTCAGAGTGGACATCAGGCAAATGAGAAATGGGGTGACCTGCACGGACAGTGTGCCCTCTTCTCCCTCTCCAGGAGAAGACTCAGCCATCTTCTCTTTGAGGCCCCAGCTGACACCGCTCACCACACCTGGACTAAGGATCAAAGGTACGGACTTCGGGCTGAGGCTGGGGCCCTCAGAGCAGGACTTAGGGCAAGGCCTAGAGGGTCCCATTATAGGTCCTTCTGTGGGGTATCTTCCACGTCAACCCAACTTGGCTTAGCGGCAACCGGGGAGTTAGGCGTCGACCTAGCAGTGACCTGCAGGGGACGAGGAGACTGCAGCCCGAACACCTGGAGCAACCACTGCAGTTCTCTACGGGATGGTATGGCTGCCACGATTGCAGACATTGTTGATGTGGTCTTCCTTGGTCCTAGAGCATGGGCAGAGCAGCCTTCATTGGACCAGGAGCCTGGAACATGGGTAGAGCAGCCCTCTCTGGGGCAGGTGCCTAGAGCACAGGCGGAGTGGCCATTACTGGGCTGGGCACTTGGAGCATTGGTGGAGTGGCCCTCTCTTGGCTGGGTGCAGCACAGGCAAGGAGGGGATCTGCTGGCACAGCAGAGGTGAGGACGGGCTCAGTGGATGTAGCAGAGGTAAGGACAGGATGAGCAAGCCCCTGTGGGCCAGACTCTGAAGAATCAGGTAGAGCGGCAGTCCCTCCTGGGTTGGGCTCTGGAGGAATGGGACTAGTGGCAGCCCCGCCTGGCTGGGCTCTGGAAGCTCAGGATGAATGGCAGCCCCTCCCGGGCCAGTCTCGGAGGCTCAGGACAAGCTGCGGCCCCTCTTGGGCTGGGCTCAGGAGGCTCAAGACAAGCAGTGGCCCCTCCTGGGCTGCACCGGGACTGGCGAGGTGGGAGCCACAGGCACAGCCAGCTTCCCCTGCTTCTTCCTCCTGTGATTGAAGATGGTGGGTGGAGCTACAGCTAGCTGTGGGGAGCCGGTAGGCTGAGATGCTTCACCCTGCGGAAAGGCGGCGGGTTGAGTGGCGTCACGTGGCAGAGAGGCAGCAGGATGAGTGCTCTCACACTCGACTATACTCCACATGTCAGTCAGTCAGCAGTGAGCCTTCTCCGCCTCCTGGGGATCCATGTCCAGGGTGAGTCTCACTAGCATGCTCCCTGTTTCCCTGAAGAGAGCCTCGCCGTGGGGATCCTCCAGACCACAGGATTACTCCTCCACTCCAGGTGAGTATCCAGGAGGGAGAAGAAGTCCTCTGCTTGAAGGCAGGGTGGCTCCTGCGGTGCTGGTAACCCCTTCAGTCCTCGGATCTGAGGCACTCAGGATATCCGGTCTGCCAGATACGGGGAGGCGAGGAAGCTGGAGCGGAGGGGCAGATTGCTGGGGTTTTTTGGGAGTCTGGTTATTCTGTCACAGTTTGTGAGACGAAGGACTCGAAGGCAGCCATTTGGGGTTTATTGAACTGAACAGGAGTAGGAAAACAAACAAGACCGTGAGGGGTCAAAATGAGAATGCTAGTACAGGCAAAGGCACAGGCAGACAGGTAGAATGATGTCAATGACCAGACTGGGGCTAATGAGACAAACAGGTATTTAAATACAAGGATTAATGGTGGGTGACAAGCAACAGGCGTGGCTCATCAGAGTCACATTAGGAAGGAGAGAGGAGGGACACGCGGACATGATGGTCAGGACGTAACAATGAGGCACGTCAGTCTTTATAAAACTCTTCATACATACACAGACTGTGCCACAACAATGTACAATGAAGCCAAATGTACTTATTTTTTGACCTGCTCTTTTCACCTGCTTTTTCATCTTTTTCACCAGTTATTGTATCGGTACGAGGTAGACTCGTCACATTAGATTCACAGATCTGTCTCTTATTCCCACAAAACAATATCAGAAAGATACATCGTTTTTCCATGAAATATAGACTGGGCAGCGGTATGTGTAAAAATCTTTGGGGAAACCTTTGGTGGGAATGAATAAATCGGGAAAAAAAATCTCTCTTGTAGTTTGTACGATTCACAGTTTGGTCACATTTATTTTAGAAAAAGAAAATTGCTAAAAAAAAATAAAATAAGCTAAGACTTAACACATTTTAATTAAAAAGAGTGGATATTGACCATATAAATACATTTCATAAATACATTTCATTTATTTATTTTATGACAAAAATAAACACTGTGTAAATGCACGATTTTAAGTGACATTGGGAAGAAAAATGGAACTTAGATCTGGACTATTTTCAAGTGAAATGTGAATCGTTGTGCTTTTAGTCCAAGCGAAACTTTAAAAGACGTTTATTTTCTAACCACCCACCCCCACCCCACACTGTCCCCTAGTGGTCTGTCTTTAAAATGAGAATGTCACTCTCACGTCAGACGTGGCTCCCTGTCACTGGCAGGACTGCGGCTCCGTCTGCGGCTGTACAGACTGACGCTTGGGACACAGCATCCTGGCGAAGGCTCGCCGGAAGCTGCTATGGCAGAGTGGGTACAGGAACGGGTTGATGGCAGAATTGAGCCAGAGGAGCCAGAAGGTGATCTCATACCAGTGGTGCTCCACACAGCGCCCACTACAGGCCGCCCGGATGATCATCAGCAATGTGTATGGTGCCCAACAGATCCCAAAGATGCACACGATGATTGCCAGAGACTTGGCGATCTTCTTGTCACGGGAGAGGCGCGAGTGCTGCACATTCCGGCCACCGGGGGCGTCCGCTTGGGCACCGTTGACGACGGGCACACGCGGGACTGAGGGCCTCAGTTTGTTGGAGGCCATCTTCTTCTTGAGCATGAGGGAGTTGCTGCTCAGGCAGCTGGAAGATGGCGATGGCTCATCGTCCTCGATGACGGCAGACACGGCCGCAGGCTCGCTCGACTGCACCTTGCGTGTCTTGACGAAGAAGACGGAGCCAGCATGGGCGCCATCGCGCTGGGACAAAAGCAGCTCGTTGGCACGTTCGGCCTGCTGCGCCTCGCGGCTCTTATTCCTCCGGCGGATGTTTAGGTAGATGCTCAGGTTGAAGAAGGCCACCGAGATGAAGGGCGAGAAGAACTCGAAGGTGGAGGCGCAGAGCAGGAAGTACCAGGTGTAGTAGAACTCGGCGAAACACTCGTCACTCGGAACATTGCTCTTGCCCACCACTAACTCCCAGAAGATGATGGCAGGGCCGTAGAGGAGGAATGCCAAGACCCACACGGCCACCATCTTCCCCAAGGCCAGGTTGGTCATGCCCTGCTGAGCCCTGTACGTGACCTGAGAGAGAAGAATTTCATCCAGTGAGCTGAAGACGACCACAGCTCATGCCTCTCATGCACACGTGCACATAAATATAGAATAACCAGCTTTAAAGAAATAATTCCCAACATCTCCTTTTATCCATTTATTTCCAGAGCTGCTTTTGGCCTGCATTCTACACCTTTGGAAGAAATGTAAATGAGAATGCTAATTTATTACGAAAAGGAGTAATGTTATATAACATTTAAATAATAATAAATAAAATACCAATTACAACTCCTCAACTCAAGCACTGCACACAGGTACCCATTACCATATCTCAGGATCTGTCGCAGAATCAGCAGATAAGAGAAAGATATTCAGGATGTACAATTTAACAAGTTATGTAACATGTTTTGTAAAAATTACGCCCACTGTTATATGGCCCTAAATGAAGGAAGAAAATAATTATACATGAGCAATAAGAGGAAACCCCAAGCTAATTGGTATTGTTGACAAATTATAAATCACCCGGAATTTGATGACTTTAAGTTTATACACACACAACCACACACTGTGAAACTGAGAGTTTGCAGCATTTTGAAGGCACTAAACTGATCCCTGAAATCATGCTGAATTAATTTCTCCACATTAAGAAATGTTGTATCCCTGTTTATCAAGCAGAATGGCTTAGCGGGAGTCTCGTAAGAGGGCATGAGAGCGTGACAGTACAGCCATCATTCACCGGATGTATTCTGAGAGTAAAGGCAAGACGCATAAAAGGTTAAATCCGTGCGGGTGTCGATGCTGTGAGGTCAGACCTTGAGAAGAAAGCTCTCTGTCTGAGGGAAACCCCAGCATCACGTCACAGATCATACTATAAATGGCAGCAAATGGGAATATGAAAGCTGGGGGGGGCAGCTCTGTAAACATTGTGGACATCTGTTGTGGCTTCTGCCTCTGTGACTCTTGGCGAGGTTCATTCCAGATTCCTGGATTACCCCTCCATTGTGACCCCCCCCCCCCCAGCTGAAATCCCCCTCCCAGCAATCTGGATCCACCACATTCCTGGACCAAGGCACGCTCCCTCTCAACCCCGCTGAGGCCAGTGGTGTGTCGAGGCAGATAGGAGGCTCTGCACTGGTTGTGCATCAGTTTAAAATCATGTCATGCAGACATGATGTTCAATAGGACCCCTGTAGCTGGCTTGCATCACGCCTGTCTTTAATCAAAAGAAGCCCTCCTCTGGTCCTAGTTGAGGGCTCTAATTTTCCAGTAGGATTTCTGGGGGATGGGGGTCATATGATGCCAGTCCAGAGAGCCCCCTATAGCCTGATCCCCTAAAGCCATCAAAATCCCTCCCACAACCCCAATGATCATCATAGACAGAACCTTGCAGTGGGACTGAGACAGTCCTGCAGGCCCCCATTTGCAAGAGAAGGGGAGGCTTTTAGGCAAATATTTTGCAGACATTCTTCCCCTTGAGTGCCCCCCCCCCCCCCCATTTTATCACAGACGACACTTCATTTCAACGGCACAGACCCGAAGATCAAAGGCTACCCCAGCGTGCATTACCGGCACGGGCTGCTCCGATTGGCTTGATTATTCCGATTTATTGGAATATAATGCTTTGAAAGGGGAGTATTGTTGTCCTTACAGGGCAGCATATAAATCAAGGCGACGGGTGCAAGGGAATGGACAGTTACGCAACCACAATGATACACTGCTGAGTAATCCCATCACATTTACTGCTCTTTTATAATGTGAGGCCTATGAATTCACGGCTAATAATCTCACACATCTCATTAGTTACATGCACGTTATGAATTCTCCTAAAATATCACATATTAAGTATGTATAAGACTGCAGGATTGCTGACAGGTACTGGTCATTTGTTCTTGAATAATCGTCTACGGTAAAATGACAGCGACAGACCTATCAGCTATTAACACGGGACCATAGAAGGCATGTCAACTCTTTCCACCCCTTGCTTTGAGAATCAGCCTGCTGTCATCGCATCTTGAGAAAGGTGAAAAGCAGATAAGCTGCGTTAGCAGACCTGGAATAAGGCCATGGCTGGATAATCACACAGGAGCGAGTTCATTATTGCGGCCTGATTCCGCCACCGCGTCTCAGCAGAGAACAACAGCAGAGGCTTGATTGTTTTGTAATGCAAAGTGGGAAGACGGAGTCCTGCTGTTCACTTCGAGCGGGATGCAGGATGCCGGAGTCTCCGCGGGCTGCGTCACAGCTGCCTGAGAGCCCCCGGCTGTCTCTGACGTGGCGCTGACTCACACTGGTTCAAGCTGACTCAGTGTCATCAAGTCATGTGACCTCTGGGTAGCTACAAGTGTCACATAAATGGCATTAATGGGGGCATCTAAGAGATCAAATGGAACAGGAGGCAGGATCTAAGGAAGCACAGGGTATGAGGCCAGGTGTCCACTGGGTAGGGGCCCCATTAGGGGCTATTCAGGGTTATAGCTTCGGGTCCAGGCAACAATCAGGGCCCCATGGCACCTGAGCGTCCATACTGATGTCAGTCAAGGATCCCCGATAAGATAATCCAAGCCTAGGCAGTCACACTACGGACAACCCAGGCGGCTCTCCTGGGAGAGAGAAGCACGCCTGAACGCTTCCCCCAGAGCTGCATTTTGAAGTGATACCTGTCCAGGACCCAAGAAGACATCCTTTTATTTTGACCCCAGTTTCTAACCAAACAGGGCTGCCTCGAGAGCATGATTCACACGAGTCCTGCACTGACGGCCACATCCGGTGTGGGGGGGGGCAGAGGGGGATTAACCTGAGCAGATGGCTATATCAGACATACCCAGTCACAGTATGCTTGGTGGGTAGACAAAGGGAATGGCAGAGACTTGGGGGGAGATGGCAGGAGTATCATGTGACCAGGACCCCCCCCAGAAAAAAAGAATATCCTTATCGAAGCAGTATACAATAAAATTTCCCCATGAATTATCATTTAGTTTATACAGGCTTTTGAGGTGTGTTGGGGTGGAGTAGGGAGTGTGGAGGCAGGAAGGAAGAAATTGAATAATCAACTGATTGATTGTGATGGAATTCGCTTTCGCCAAAAAGGTTACAGTCTGCCTGTGGAGGCTCGTCAATGGGACAGACACATTTGCCCGTCTGAGAAACTCCTCAATGCGCTACGGAACAAAACAAATGGCCTGCCTGCTTCCTGGCAGACACGCGGCTTTGTTTCAGCAGACATCATTGATTTGGCTTTTTTCTTTTTAGATCCCTATGTGCCTGGAGAAGAGAAAGCCAATCAAATTCCTATGCTGTCTGATTAGGAACTGTGTCTGTGTGCACTGGCAAACCCACCTTCATCCATCAGCATTAAACTCCCAGCTTGTTCCTAGGCACACGCAACATAACCAGTGAATTTAAGGCACAGAGTTATACAGAGGCTTTCTTTTAAATCCCAGTGTGAATAGAAAAATCATTAAAAATCAAGTCTTTAATATATTAAATATGTATAGCAATAGAAAAAAATGCATTTTCACCCTGCTGTAAAAAATTCCTGTTTGTATTACCCAGCATGTCTTTTCGGAATGGATATGTACTCACAGAAAAATGCAAATGCAAATGCAATTTGGCATATTTCATTTTTTAATTATTATTATTATTTTTTTTACAATTTAATGTTTCATTAGCATCTTTGGTGGTTTTTCACAGTTTCATTTAAGACTGCTCGCTAATTTAATTTCAGCACATATCACCCTTAGCACTTTCTCTGAGCTTGTATTTTTAAATTTTTTTACAGTCTCTCTCTCCTGTGTATTCCTTTTCCAGGCCAGGGCTCTGTCACATATCATAAAAACAAAGATCACATGACCAGGTCACATGTTCCTGTATGGAAGACGTGGGGTTGATTCACTTGCCGACACCATTTTGGGCACAGGTGCTCTGCACATTGAACTCGTCCCCCTCTGCCACCCTCTCATTTCAAGTCGGTCCTGTACCACAGCCCAAACCGTGGCTTCTGAAGAGTCCAGACCGGGCTGAATTCCAAGTTAACAAGCGGCACCCTGCTCGCTGTTAAATTACAGAGGCTCTGTGAATAAAGCATGGCTGGCAGACTCATTAGAACAGTGATTTTCGCTAACTTGCATGGCAAGCATTACGGGATCTCAGACATGGCTTATTCTGACTTGGCCTGGTGTGCATAGTCTTGCCCCTCTGCATTATGGGCCTGGTCTGTCCGGCATCATGGCTGATGCGGACTTGGCCCAGCCAGGCCCTCAAAGCACATTATGGTTCAGACAAAAAAAATCTGTGTTTGGCTGCAGTTCTATGGCGTTGCCAGAAGGGCCTCCACCATCTACAACATTTGATCAGATTTTGTTTCTTAATAAACAGACCACATAGAAGCTATTCCCCAGACCCAGGACTGGTGTTGAAGTCGAATTCCCGGTAGCTGAATATTTCCTTGTTGGTTCAGCAACTCTTAATCTGAGCTCCACAGAGAGAAATAATGTGAAACTGATCTCTCCTGGGCCAGGGATCCTGCTGCCCGCTAGCTTGGAGGGCTGGGGGGTGGCCCATTTTCCATAGAACATTCTAGAATAATTTCTGACAAGGTGAGAATTACATTCTAAGCTTAACTGCCCCAGTGGCTTAGGGCAACAACCTGCTCTGCCAATCGAATGGTAATCACGGATGTATCGCTTACATTTATTGTCCAGCTACACTTTTGGACACGCAACAATGGCACTGAGGTGAGCCCCACGCAATATGCATCGACATCATCCCTTTAATAGCTGAGGGCTATCCCTTTAATCAGTTTGTTTACCTAGGGCAAAAAATAGTCCCTAAGGACTATAGATGGTAAATGAAGGAAATCGTTAACTAACGCGCAGGAAAAAATGACGATGCGCTTGTATGGATTTTCAATTCAAGGCAATTCATGTGTTTGTGTGCTAATGAAATGCATTAATATTTCCTATCAAATTAAAAACCTTTTTCTCTTTTGTTGGCTGCCATAATGCTGGGTGAGACACATCGGCTGCCAAGCTGCATCACTCCCTCAATATCTCTGCAAGTTCCCTTCCCGGAATTAGAGCGGATTCCTCTTTCGCTAGGGGGACACAGCCGAGGTCGATTCGCAATCGCCTGGCACGAATGCATTACCTTACACAAACATGCCGCGTCAAGCAAAGATGTGGTATGCGCCTTACTCAGCTGACATGTTTGTTTTTCTTCATGGAGCTTTCTGGCAACATTCCTGCTCGGGGTCCGTTTATGTTTGCATGCGTCTCAGCTGAACGGTGAAGCTGCTGTTTTTTGTCACAGCAGTAAAAGCGACATTACAAAGGTGACTTTAATGCCTGGATTTACAGGTTCCGTTCTGTTGGTCATCAGTCAGCAGGAGCGGGTTTGTTGTTTAATATTTAGTTAATTTAGTATTTAATGTAGTGACAGTTTGTGGCCAATAGGGGGCCCTGTACTTTGAGGGGCCCATGTGTGGTGTGAGTGGTGGTTAACACTGCTACTGTCAGTAAGAAAACATGGTCCCACGCATATGCCGTACACTCAATCCGTACAACTCATCTAATTAATTTCAGCCATAACATTATTTTCCATTAGGTTTATGAAAGGGAGAGTATAACAGAGAATCACAGCCTTTCATTTCACCAGAAGGTTCCTTTCAAATTTGGGCCAGAAGAAGTATGTAAGTCTTCTTCATTTATGTGTTTAACTTTTTAAAAGATTTCTCCATGATATTTAATCATATTAAAAGACAGCCCCCCCCAACCTTTTCCACTTCCGAATTTCCTAAGGCTCCCTGCTATTTCACCATGGGAACGTTTCCTTCAAACTAATGCCAGAAGTTTATGTAACAGTCTTTATTTATGAATTTAACGTTTTAAAATCTTTTTCCATGGTGATATTTAATTATATTAAATTCCAAGTTTCCTATCACTCCCTGCTGTTACAAAAAGACATGGTGCCATCTAGATGATGATGATGATGTGGCCTTTGACAGATGCATGGATCATCCAGCTGTGATGCTCACTCTGTCATATGAACACCAATGACATAAATGGCATCACACATGTGTCTATTGGTAGCACGAGATGATCCTGTTTTCTTGTAACTCATTCTCCATTGCTGCCCCGTGACACCATGTCCACCATCTGTCATCGTTTACCGCACAGCGCGAAAGAACGATTACTCCAGCGTCAGTACGGTCTCAAACAGGGGCCTGTTTGCGGTTGAGCCCTCCAAGTCCACAGGCAGCCGTTTATCGCGGGATTTTTAGCTTTGGAACAAGGATTAGCGCATCCTGGAAGTGTATCAACAGCGACATCGGCGCAGTACCCATCAACGTGAAGGTGCCATTGCTCTACAATGGTGTAGGCTCAGCCATGGCCGCAAACATGACTCACTGCTAATTGACACAAGTTTGCGTCTCGCTTGTCCAGGAAGTGTAGACGGTGGCAGAAGGAAACACCTGAATCGAGTTACTAAAATGTGATCTTGCCCAGAAACGGCAAGGTGTTCGAAGAAGTTAACACCAAGCATGGGCCATTTAGAAATCTAACCTGTCACACCAATGGAATGAGTACGTCAATTACACTCTTTGCAGCACAAATTGACTCCCCTCTCCCTATACTTAGATATAGTGAATTATAAAGAGGTTCATGCACAGAACCCCGCAGCCGATACAGAACACATTCTCAAAAGTAAGTTGGAATGCGGTGATAGAAATGCAAATGACATTTATTTCGATGAATCACGCGTACGGCGAGATTTCAGCAGTTTTCCCAATGCCAGTGATTAGAAAGACGAACATACAGCCTATATCGCCCCCCCCCCCCATTACCACAGGCTTTAATCAAACACAGCTGTGACGTAACGGAAGCCTCACTCACAGCCCGTGTCACGGACAGGAAGCGATCGTAGCTGATGAGGACGATGTTGAACACGGAGGCTGTGCACAGCAGGTAGTCGATCACCAGCCACAGCTTGCAGAGACCCCGTCCGAACATCCAGCGTCCTGTCAGGATGTACGGGATGTAGACAGGGATGCAGAAAGCACCTGGGAGGAGAGAGGAGGACAAACAAAGCTTGGATGAAGCCCAATTGGACGCGTCGTGCCACAGCTTTGTGTGAGTGGCTGGGCAGGAAACAGCTTCAGAATCAACGAATCAATCAATGTGTTGTCAGTTACTGGGTACAAGATTCAGCCTGTGACAACTCAGGGCAGTTATTTGTCAAACTCCTTCCCTTGCTGCCATCCACAAATGCAGGGGCGCAACTAGAAATTCTGGCCCCCTTGATAAAATGTCAGCTAGACAGTAGAATTTGTCAAGCAGAAGGAGGCTCCCCATGGTAAAATATGGGGCCCCTGTAAAGTGCTGGGTCTCATGAATCTGCCTGGGTATCCATGCTCCTCCTGTGCCCCCAGCTCACTGTTCACCCCACGGTGGTTCCCCCAGCCTGACGCATGGAAATCCCGTCATGTAAAGGTGTGAACCAAGAGATCGATCCTGCCTGCTTACCAGAGAAAGTACAGGTCAATTAGCGAAATGGCGCTCACCGATTGTGTTACGGATGCTGCGAAGATGAAAATCCTAGCATCTTATCTGCCTTAAAAGTAGAAACTATTTAACATCACAAAGCACCTACTGAAGTGATCAGCACAGCAGGGTGGAAATGACTTTCATGCAATTATGCAAACATGGAAGAGGACAGTATGCTTCCTTATCAGAGGAAGAGGAACAGTATGTAACAATAACTTGTGCACTGAGAGAAGTACACAGTCTTGAAGGGAGTCAGACATTTCCAATTTTAGTCTTGACATTCAATGAAGCGGCAGCCATTGTGGTGAAGGATCCATACTTAGAGAGAGGTGATCTCTGAATTTATTACCTGGCTTTGTGGGCTCTCTCAGATGAGATACTCAGGGTAAACTGTGACTAAACTCTGTGGTCGTATTGTTAAATCCTCCAAGTGCTTTACTGTTCACCTTTATTTTGCCCCAAATTTATGGTATTGACAGTGTTACATATAACAGGAGGTAGGGTTCCAGTCAGCTAATATGTTACCATGGTGACTGATCATCAACCCTATGCCAACAGACAGCTGAAGTAATGGAGCCCAGCTGACCACGACTGGTCTAATTATCTTGTTATGGTTATACACGGTCAGCTGGGCAGCTCCTCCAGCACTGGGAGTCGGCGGTGAGCTGGCAATGAGTTGTGTACAGGAGAATGAAGTGGTTATCATTCTTTTGTTTTCGGATTATTCCTATTTAAGGCTTTTGCACCTTTTTCAGAAATACTTTCAGTGCCTTTTTCAGAAGATCCAATAATACTCTTTTTATTTTAGCCCGTCTGAACCCGGCCAACCTTCTCAAGCCCCTATCATGTGACCGATGTCTAACTCTCAACTTACCACAACACATACAATTTCCCTGCCTAGCTACTGGGACCAGGGGCATAGGCAGAAATTCTAGGTCCCCTGACAAAATGTCACCTGAGCCCCCCAGCCCCCCCCCCCCCACCCAATTTTATGTATAATTTTAGATATTCAAGGTAGTAACACTGGAAGTAGGGTTACTGAGGCTGCTTCAGCATGGTCTATTTCTTGTCGGTTATGTTAATTATCCCGCAGTGGCTCAGAGGCAACTTCATGATCATTTCTCCAAAATGTTAACTAATGTTAGCTGTTTATAGCTACAAATGATACAGAAGAACTTAATCAAAGTCTATTGGTCCTTCTGACTTCCAGCACCCTAAGCTCAGAGCGTCTTCCCATGCCTATGATTCAAAGACTCCTATAAAGTGCTGCGTCCCCTCAATCTGCCAGGGCATCCATGTCCCTCTGACACCCCCATAACTGGGACCCATACAAGCATAGATTCCTGTCCCCTGGCCAGTGTCTTACCCCAAGTGCATTATTTACTGAATTCATTTGTTAGAAAATGTCACTAATACATATTATACAGCATCCTAAAAGGCAAGAACAGACGATCTACTAATCAGTTTAAGTCGGTCCACTGATGTATTCTTGGGTAACGTGTGAACTCTTAAGTGGTATGATGAATTACTGCTGCCTTTTTCGAGAGGTGAATCGAATACCCCCATGACTGCAAACACAGAGGCTGGTTGTTATTTTGACAGAAATTACAAATGCCAGAAAGGGCAGAAAGACCATGCTTTTGGCCCTGAATGCTCATCCGAGTGTTATAGTACATTTATCTATATTTTGATCATTTTTCTTATTGGTGTAAAATGTAACTAGCATTTGACAAAACATCAGACATTGTTTACCAAAGCTGTTACTGAACACAGTCTTATTGTGTATGTTGGGACTATTACTGAAAAGTGATTGTAATGATTATTATCCTGACTGGCAAATGGGATTTTACTATTCAAATGGTTATTGAAATTTATATATATATATATATATATATATATATACACATACAGACACACACATACAAATATATACACATATATATGTATGTATGACAAACTATTTATATAATATATTTGTCTGTATGTGTATATATATATATATGTGTGTGTGTGTGTGTGTGTGTGTGTGTGTGTTAAAATTGTGCGTCATTTGTACATTTTGCAGGCACAGTCTTCAATATATTGGTTTCATTACAAATTAATTTGGTCATAACCTCGTCAATTAGGGAGCAGTGAGGAGAAGAAAACAAGTATGATATGTTCTTAACCAACCGGCAAAATTATTAAACCAATGAACAAATAAAAAAAGACACGCACACACGCTTTATGGTTTACAAGGTGAGGGCGGGAAGATGGAGGTCCGAGGCGTGACCACGGGGAGCTGACAGCAAGACCGGGATACTTAGCTGAGGTCAAATCTCAGTTCACAGACGATTTAGCTCTTGGAATACTGTCGGGAAACCGAAGCGACATCGAATCAAGGGACTGTGGACCGACGGCAAGCTGGGCTCAGTGTGGAAAAGGGAGGAAGACGGGCGATGGACGGAGGACAAACCCGATTTAGCAGAGAATTCAAAACAGGTCTGGGTGAAAGCACTAGAAGCAATAACAGCGTGCTTTAACCAACTGAATCGTTATAGTCGACCGACTCTCTTTGGTGAACCCTTCCTCCAATTCAACTACGTAAAATACACAAAGTCACGTCTAAAATATATAGCCTATGCAAAATCTACTGATCTGCAACAAGTAATCTCATCAAGTCGATTAAGGTGAAGGACAGTGAAAAGAGCAGTGGTACTGGTAGCCTAATGTCAGCCTATAAAAGTGGGGTTATCCTGTATATTAAAGACATCGCTGAGAAATGGGTCTCATTTCCACCCTTAGAGCTAAGTCAAATTGGTTTCCATTTCATATAAATGTATCTTAAGGCTATTATCCTGACCCGAGATGCACCACCACACATCTCCCCGGCCGGCTGCTTGGCTGCTCATTCAGCCCGCTGTACCCGCTGTGGGATCTGGGTCCTCGCTGACTGAGAGCGACGCCGGGGTCGGTGCTCAGAAAACATTTCTTTTTCAAACCGAAAACTACATGACATAATCTTCCTCCACAACAGGGCGACTTTGTACTATCATACGGAGAAACCGGTGAGTCAGTGTCACTTAAAAGACAAACGCGTATTCCCATTAATGACTAATTTGGCAAATTAGTTATAAACAAAATGAAACGCTGGAGCATCAGAGGATCCGAGCGACAAAGGAAGTCAACAGTAAGTGAAACTGGTTCTTTAAATGCAAATTTACTTAACAGGTCTGGAAACTTGTTTTCATCTCTTGCATACTGAATTAAGGGCATCGATCGACAGGGCCAACAGATCAAACTTTATTTCAGACATGAAAGTCACTAATTCGGCTACTAGCATTTTAGTTATGCGACTTAATTATATAATCTAGAAATTAATATTACTGGAAAAGGTCGAGGTGTTTAGGGGGATCGTTAAATAGACAAGTATATACTTACCTACGAGGAAATCTGATATCGCCAGGTTCAAGAAGAAATAGTTGCTCTGATTTCTAAGACTTTTGTCCACCACAAATGCAAAGATGACCAGCGCATTCCCAACTACAACTACAACCACAAGAGTTACCATTAACACAGCCAGGATCACCATGATATAGCCTGAAAATGAGGCGCCAGTCCCATGGAAGCTCGCAGAATCGTCACCGGTGAAATTAAAGCTTGAATTAATTTCAGGGATGCCAGCTCCCATAGTCTCCCACGAGTGGTATCGGTATTACTGGGAAGTAGAAATGTAGAGTAAAGATGATGCGCTCGTGTCATCCATGGCTAAGCGCGGTGGAGAGCCGCACCAATCTCAGATGTTCAGATCGTGCTCCGCGCAGCAGCCTGGGTTGATGCGCAGCTGTTCCACACGGACCGGACCCACAGGCTCCTCCTAAAAGTTGGCCAGGTGTCCAAGCGCTGCGGGACGAAACGACCTGCTGCGAAGCGGGGACACCCCTCATGTGGCATCGCAGCGGATCGACGAGGCGACTGCAAGGCACATTTTTTTTGAATGATTATTAAATATAAAAAGCGATTATAAACGTCTTCCCGCGCTTGATGGCAATCCTACCCTTTTCCGCCGGCTGAGGCACTATCTCCTGCTGAAGTGAGCATATCTCCCATGATAAACGGGAATTAAGGCGCGTTTGTGAAAGCGCGACCTTGCTCATGGCACTGCCGGGGGGCAAATCCTCGTTTTCTCTTGGGAGCGAACGAAGGTGACGTTAATGCACTATGCTGTGAAAATGGTAGACGAATACACGGGCACTCTGCAGTTTATCTGGACCTTTCGTTTAGTTGTCAGCAATTGCTTATCTCATGCCCAATGTCTTCATTTAATGAGCATGTTATTAACATATTTCTGACCAATATGTCGATCTCTACTTTTCAAGGTTATTTTGTATATAGCCTACATTAGAATGAATCCAGGTCACAATATGCTGGTTACTCGTGGTGCCTAAAGATTGAAAGATTGTAAGTTAAAATAACTCTTCTGGGTCCAGTATTTAACTCAATAGGTTTTGTCTTTACATTATTTTACAAATATTTTACTTTTTGTTTGACGATGCAGTTGCTCATAAATCCCTCAATAGCCAATTATTGCGCATTACAGATTGGGCTCTAATACTGTCGTTCGTAATTTGTTATTCTCAGTGCGATAGCAACGTTATATAATGAAACTCCGTCCTAAAGGTGATGTTTTAACTCAAATCAAATAAGGTGAAGCACTTATGAATAAGTAATTTCTGAGAAATATGGGAATATATATGAATCTGTGTGTGTTCTCTGTGTGACCCTTGGAGTTATAAATATTATTTATATTTTGTATATTATTTAGAAATTCATACAATTTCTTCACATGAGACGCACCGTTTCGCAAGTGCTAAGCATGCAGAAGCGTCATCTGATCGCTCCTTCTTCTGATCCTTCAGCATCACTTCTATGTTCGCCTTCCCTTCACTTCGTTACCGTAACGGTCCCCTTTTAACCCTCTCATTTTGAACTATTAGGTAGAGCTGAATCTTCAGATAGCGCAGTTATGACTTAAATAACATCGCGCTCTCATCGGAGGTATCCATCTACTCCAAGCGATGAGCCGGAGTGCTGTGATGATTTTCTGCAGCGGCATTATTTCCCTAAAAACCCACTTAGAACAATAACAATGCACCCAATTATCTACTTTAAGAATTATACAAATCTATGCTATGAGTGCGTTTTTGTTATGACTCCATGTTTCCCACATTTCCCAGACGACTACAAATAACATAAACTTACTGTCATTTAATCAGAAGGATTAATATGGATGAAGTTAGTGTGCATTTCCTTGGTTTCAGTGGCACCACTGTTGTCATATCACTGGACTGAAAACAGATGTCACCATAGCTTCTGTCCCATTAAGGCTGCTAAAATGCAGTCATGACACCAGTCTAAAAAATTTGCCTGTTCTTGGTCTTAGCCCCTGTGTAATGGAATGAACTTCCCAGTCTCTCAACAGAATACAAAATCTCTCATTCTCTTCAAGAAATTATTCAGCTCTTCGCTATATACACCACCTTTCAGCCCTAAACTTCTGGTTAACCCTAAATTAAGCATTCTCCTCCAGATTAATAAAAGTATTTTGAATCTGAAAATGTGTGTAATGAGTAGTGGGTTGATTAAATCAGTAATGATTTTAATGCATGATGTTGTGTATGCAGTCTATGGACTCTCTTTGAATATATATACTTAATCTGTCCAATTAAATTTGAATATGGATGTCCCTAGCAGATATAATTGATTGTATTAAGAGGTTACTAATTGCCTCCTTCCTAAAACATATGCGATATGTTTCCCGAATGATATGCAGAACTTGCTTTGCTGGTCAAATTACCAATTAGCCAGTGTAGGAACTGTAGGTCTACACTCTCAGAAAGAAAGGGTAAAATTGTACCTTTGCTTGCTGCTGGGGCTGTAGCCTTGTAATTGTACCTTTTAAGGTACAGAAATGGACCCTGATGAACATCCTGAAGGTACATCCAATGTTAATGTACCACCAATGGTACAGAAATGTTCTTCCATTTCTGAAACTTAAAAGGTACAGTTACCTACAGCTATGGGTACAATTGGCAGGTCCCTGGGGGTACAGCCCCAGTGACAAGCAAAGGTACAATTTTTTTACCCTTTACCATTCTTTCATATGTTCTACCCATGGAAAAAAAGGAAAAAGAGGAGCTAAGCCATAAGGACTGAGACCTCTGCATCATTGAAGACTATCAATGGTTATGAGGCTCCAATAATATTAAGTCCATGGTTCTCGATCAGCTAAATAGCAAGCTAGCTATCGCCTCCTACTGCTTACACAACAACAGGGAATATAGACGTGTTGGGTACTGGGTAACTAGTAATGTTGTCTTTAAGCTAGCATTTAAGTGCTGGTAATGTTGAGGTGATAGTAAGATTGTCATGGCACTAATGTTAATGTGACGCTAACATTGACCTGATGCAAAGACTGAAGTGATAGTAAGAATGACTTGGCACTGATGTAAACATGGCAGTAACATTGACATCATGTTAACATTGTCACCATGGCAACATTGATGTGCTGCTAACATTAAGGTAATGGTAAGATTGATGTGGCACTGACGTTGAAATGGCGGGACGGTAATGTTGGCATGATGGTTTGGTAGCTGAAAAGTAAAATTTCTCTGCTGTTTTCATCCTCATGGCCTAATATGCAAAAGTTGACTTTTGAATGAATTATGTATTTGTAGTACTTTTAGATTTGTTGAGTTATTGATACATAATTCATTGTTTGTCGTAAAAAGTAAGACCCCACGGTGATGTATAGAGAGGGACTGGGCATCATAAGCTGCACAACTTGATCTGTTTCACCAACTTCCTCTATAGTTCTTTGCATCCAAACATCTGCCTTTGATCAGAAATCCGTCCAAGTCCATTAGCATTTCACAATAATCACGGTAGCCGGGAAGAATTAAATGACAACCATTCGGCGAGATATGAAAGTATGTGTGTCGTATGATAACTAAATTCAATTAAGAGCATTGAGATTTATGTGTTATCTTAACATACAGTTGGTCAATATTATGGATTAGTGAGCGCCACTTGACTTAGGAAAACTTATCGGGCTTGTTAAGTTTGTTTGTTATGTTTTGATGCTATTGCAAAGTAGAAGGACAAAAAGGCTTTATATATTTATATAGTATCATCAGCAATTGTCTCCCGCCTCGTGCTCCTAAGCTTCCTGGGAGAGATTCCAAACCCCCTGTGCCCTGGACCAGGATAAGTGCTTTGAAGATAGATGGTGGATTCAGCGGAAGCGTGGAACATTTTTTGTTGGTCTTTTTTTAATGAGCTGGCCGACAGCTGTAGTCAGCAATGCTGTTATCCAAGAAGCTGTTTTGGCTGAAGTTTGCGGCCAAGAGCAGGAGTGAGGAAGTGAGTAGGCCTGATGCTGTCAGGACCCCTGCAAGGGATCCAAGCAAGACTGTAGCTAATATTTCCATCACTCAGACAGTCTAACAACAATGTTAAAGGAACATAAACAGGCATTTTTCTTCCCTGAGTACAAAACGCCAGTAGCCAAAACACACATTTAGGTACATCTCTCCAGAAGTTATTTTCTTGCTTTTAAATGTTTTCTTTTTGTATAGTAGTTTGTTAGACAGTTAAAGTTTTGTGAATTTTTTTTATGTGTTTTTCTTCTAGTTCCTCCTTTTGTCCTTTAGCAGTCTTGCTAAACCTCTTCCTGAAAAATGAGTTGCCCAGTTAATTGACTGTATACTGTCTCACACTCCCGTGTATTTCTTTGCATGGCTTTCTAAAATAATGACAAATGACAGGTATAGAAGGCATTTTATCTCTATTGCTCACTAGTGTAGTTTTACTTTTGAAACTGGTTATCTCCGCAATATTTTGAAGAGGCAGCGGGATAGTGAGACTCTCGTCTTGTTGATAACTTCCATTCTAGCAGAGTAAATTAAGGTTTATCGCCTAGAAAGATCCAACCATCATATTTCCTATTTATTTTCTTAGACAATGACCCCCCTGCTCCAAAACCAGATATAAAATGTCACAATAAAGGTAATTGCAGGTGAGTGTTACTTATGGCAGATCACAAGAGAACATCCTGTACCATAGAGACCTTGGGACATTCAGCCAGACTTTATAAAAGATACATCACAGATGGAAGGGGGATGGATATGCACCATAACTATGTTACTCTCCCTCATCACGCCTTTCTTACAAAAGCCGACAACTCGATCCATGACACCTCTTCTCCCGGTTAATGAAAAACCCCTGGTTCTGGTGGGGTCTTTCTCAGCACTCAGCGCCTCAGTCTGGGAACCGAAAAGCCCCCAAAAAGGGACTAGTCATCGACTAATGATGCGTGTCCTCAACTGCCCCTCGAGGAGAGACACCCCCCGCAGACATCTGAGTGTTCAGCACTGCACCATCTTCCCTGATTACTTCACGAAATTGTCACCTTATAGCTATAATAAACTGTCGTGGATAATAAAGGATATTATTACTTCTATCAACATGTTTATCTAGAGTTTTACCCGTTAATAGTGCAGTAATGGAGTAGTGATGAACAGATCTGCTGACTCAGTCTGTTGTGTCAGTTGACTTCCTGTTAGCCACCATATTGGACATCACCGTTTGTTTTTTGCAAAAGAAGAAACACAATCAAGGTATTTTTCTGTCATTCGCAGGGCTTCTGCCACCAGACTGACATCTCCTGTCACATTCATCAGTATCCCTTCCACCCTGTTCCTCAGGGGTCTCTCAGACGCTGTCATCCAGAACGCCTTGAGCGATGCGTTTGTAACCCTTTGACAGCGCTGATTTGGGGAGATGAATGTGTTTTTTTCTTCCTTTGTCTTTCTGAAACAAAGTGGATGATGAAGCCTGCAGAATATCTGCAAATCACAAATCAGTGTGGAAAAGTTTCTTCCAAGACATGGAGAGATGTTCCCAGCTTGAACATGGCAGCAACAAATCCAGGAACTCTGAGCCCAATGGATCTCAATTGACTTATGTTTTTTTAATATACTTCCTTTCTTAACATTTGCCTCAAATGGAAAAACAGTCGACAGCACAGTGGTGCAGTGGTTAGCACTGTTGCCTTACACCTGCCAGGGTTCCGTGTTCTCCCCGTGTCATTGTGGGGTCTCCCCCCGTGATCCAATAACATGCT